AAACAAAGGAGGAGGCTGCAATGCTTGGTAAGAAATGTACGCATTATCCTGCCCATGTAATTGTAACCCCTCTGTACAGTATGTTCACAAATAAAAAATAAATAAATAAATTTTAAAAAATGTGAACATTAAACACACTCTTAAAAAAGTGACTGTGTCAGGGAAAAAGTTACAAGAAAATTAGAAAATACTCAGAGATGAATGAAAATGAAAACCAACAGAACTTAAAGGGTACAGTGAAGGAAAAGGAAATTTATATCTATAACCTAACCTAACTACCTTAAGGAAATAGAAGAAAGAAGAATACTCTAAACACAAAATGGCAGAACATAAGAAACAGTAAAGGTTGGGTTAGAGATAGATAAATCATAGAAAAATAATCAAATTGATGAAACAAAAGTTATTTGAACTCAGCAACCCTGATAGACATTTAACTAGACTTTACTGAGAGAGAAAATGCAAATAACAAAAATAAAAATGAAAGTGGATGTGTTATTATCAGTCAACAGACAATAAAAGAATTACAGGAGAACTTTGTGAACAACTGTTTGCCAACAGAAATGGATATGCTCCTACAAGGACACAAATAATCTAAAGTGACTCAAGGTGAAAGAAAAACATCTCAAAGGCCTGTAACAAGTAAAGTGAATTAATCAGTAACCAAAGACCTCCAAGAGTTCAGACCAGACTCCCTTACTGGTGAATTGAATAAAACATTTAAAGAATAAAACTTTTCAGCTGGGCGCCAGTTGCTCTCCCCTGTAATCCTAACTACTCATGAGGCTGAGATCTGAGGATTACGGTTCAAAGCCAGCCTGGGCAGGAAAGTTAGTGTGACCCTTTATCTCCAATAAACCACCAGAAAACCAGACAAGGCACTGTGGCTCAATTGGTAGAGTGCTAGCCCTGAGCTGAAGAGCTGTGGGACAGTGCCCAGGCCCAGAGTTCAAGCCCCATGGCCAACACACACACACACACACACACACACACTCACAATTTCAGTCTATGAAACGTCTTCATTTCAGTCCATGAAATGTCTTGGTTCCATTATTTCTAGGCCATGGTGAGGCATAAATCATGACAGGAAGCCTGTGGTAGAAACAAAGCTATTTACCTCATAAGGGCCAGGGAGGTGTATGTCATATGTATAGGTAGAGAGTGTATGTGGGGAAGGGTCTAAGGACAAGACTTACCCTTCAAAATTAGGCCCCCAGAGACCTGCTTCTTACAATTCACCTCCTAATAATCTCCATTCAGCTTTAATTCATCAGAGGATCATATGTGATAAAGTTAGCACCCTCGTGGTTGGAGGCAAGGCTCAGTTGGTAGAGCACTAGCCAGTGAGTGAAAGCATTAGGAACTGAGTATGAATCTTGGTATCAGACCTAAAAAAAGAAAAGAAAGTTAGCACCCTCATGATCCAGTTAGTGTCACCAACTAGGAACCAACTCTTATGGAGGGACAGTTCATTTCTAAACCCTAACACCTCAAATTCTCTCCAAATACAAGAGGAATTGGATGCTGGTGACTCCTACGCTTATAATGCTGGCTATTCAGGAAGTTGAGACCTCAAGGATCATAGTTTGAAGCCAGCCTTAGCAGAAAACTCAGAGACTTCATCTTCAGTTAACCAGCAAAAGCCAGGCTCAAGACCAATGGCTCTAGTGTAGAGTTAATCAGCCTTGAGTAAACAAGCTCAGCAGACTGAAGCCCTGGTGTGTAGGGGCAAAGGCCGGGCCAAGAAGAAACACTCCATCGTCATTCACTTTGTGAGGCCGGCATTTCTCTCAATACCCAAGTGAAGTGAAAATATCACAAGAGAAATACAGACTGAAACTCCTTGTAATATATTTGCAAAATTCGAGCATATTAAGAAGCATATAATACAAGATTTATCTATTAGTACCAAGTAGGATATATCTCAGGAGTGTAAGGGTAATACAACATTAAAAATAAGTGTAATATATCATACTAATAGAAAGGAAAAATCATATTGGTTGATTCACAAAAATCATTTAATGAAATCCAACATGTTTGTGTTAAAAAATTTTCATAAGACTAGGGTTAAAAGACAGTGTATTCAAGTTAATAAACACGCACAGGTAACATTTTAAAATGTAAGACTACCCACTTTCTCCTTATGATCAGAAATGAGGGTAGGATGTTTGTTTTCATTGTTGCTATTCAACACTAACATTCTAGGTAGGTCATTTACACAAGAAAAGGAAAAAGAATATTTAAATTGGAAAGGAAAAACTGAAACTATCACTATTTATAGCTGACATAATCAAATATTTAGAAAAATCCCAAGGAATAAGCAATACAAGTACTAGAGCTTATAAACCACAGGTGCGAGATGAACACACAAAAATAGTGCTTCTGTAGCCCAGCAGTGAGTCATCTGTAAAGGCATTTAAGAAAGCAGTTCCATTTTTAAGTATCCTCTAAGAAAAATACCTTGAATTTAACAAAAAATGTTAATTATTTGGGGGGGAGGGGACTTGAACTCTGGATCTGGCTGCTGTCCCTCAGCTCTTCAAGCTCAAGGCTAGCACTCTACCACTTGAGCTACAGCGCCACTTCAGGTTTTCTGAGTGGTTTATTGGAGGTAAGAGTCTCACAGACTTTTCCTTCCCAGGACTGGCTTTGAACCTAGATCCTCAGATCTCAGCCTCCCTTGTAGCTAAGAGTATTATAGGTTTGAGCCACTGGTACCCAGCTTTTTAGGGTCTTTTTAAAGAATTAATTGCCATATCCAGGATTTTCTAAAAGGTTTATTGTTATAGTGCTAATGTTAGTTAATTCTCAGCTACTTTTTGAATGTACTGTGAGATGGATCCAACTTTTTTTTTTTTTTTTTTTTTTTTGTGGTGAGCTTTGTCACTAAAAAGCTTGTGTCCGGGCTGGGAAAGTGGCTCAGGGTAGAGTGCTTGCCTTGCATGTATGAGGCCCTGGGTTCGATTCCTCAGCACCACATAAGCAAAAAGAAAAAAAGCCGGAAGTGGCGCTGTGGCTCAAGTGGTAGAGCGCTAGCCTTGAGCTGAAGAACTGAGGGACAGCGCCCAGGCCCAGAGTTCAGGCTCCACGACTAACAAAAAACAAAAGCAAAAAAAAAAAGCTGTTGTCCCCCAACTTTACCTTTGTCAACACTGCTTTGGCTGTTTTGGCCCCTTGAATTCCCACATGAATGTGAAGGTTTCTTAAGAAAAAGCTGTTGGAATTTAATAGGGACTAAGTTGAAACTGTATACCACTATGATACTTGAGTGTATCAAGTTCTATTATACATAAATACAGAATGTCTTTCCATCTATTTAGGTCTTAACTAATTTTTGCAGTACTGTGTAATTATCAGTGTAATTTTCATCTGGTAGCGGATTAATACCCAGGTTATAAAAAGAACTAAACTCAACAATGGAAACAAACAACCTAATGAACATACCTCAAAAGGACACATACATGTGACCAGGAAGCAAATAAAAGGACACTTTGCATCATTAATCATTAGGGAAATAGAAATAAAACCAAATGAGACATCACTTTGTACCTATTAGGTAGCTAAATTTAAAGAAAAATAATATGTGGGTGAGGATATAGGAAAATATATCTTCATAACTGATGGAACTATGAAATCATATGCTATTTAAAAACAAGTTGTTGTTTCTTTAAAAAGGTAAACACAAAACTACAGTATGACTAAGCAATCCCATTTCTGTGAATATAGCCTAAATAATTGAAAACAGGTACTCTAATATTTACACCAGTGTCCATGAAACCATCATTGCAGTAGCCCAAACAGCCCAGTGTGGATGTAGCAACAGATGGATGAAGAACCTGAGGTGTGAGCAGGCCGAGGCCTCCGCCATCTGCTGTGAGAAGGAATGAAATTCTGCAGTTTGCTGCAGCATGGCTGAATCTGGAAAGCCTTGAGTGAAAAGAAAAGAACAAATAATACGTGATTCCACTTTCATGGCGTAGCTAGAAAGCCACATTCTTATTGTTGTTTGTTTTATGATAACCGTAGAATGGCCAAATTTTTAAGAGACACAAAATAGAACAGAGTGGGTAAAGGGGAAACTGGAATTTTAGGGGGTTGGTGATGCTGCACAACATAGCAGATGTAATCTGTGCAGCACACCGGCCTTGAGCGCTCACCTTCCTCCGTCGCCGTCCCTCACATCTCCACCCTCTTGTTCCACTCTCATATGTGAACATAAAAATATTTTAACGAATTCACTTCCTTTCCCCTCTCGGTTCACCTTCGCCCTCCTGCTAGTACCTTCATCCCAAATGTGACCTCTTTACATTTGACAGTATACATTTAACACTTGCATAACATTTGCATTTGACAATTACATTTAACATTATTTAGAGGGGTTCACTGTGGTGTTTCACACATGCATGTCCAGTTATTCAGTCAGATTGACTCCTCATTGCTCTCACTTTCCCATCCCCCTTTCCCCTTGTACTCAACAACTTTGAGTGAGTGTCACTTTGTAATCCTCATACACAGATGTTTTGTATTTTCATTCTAATATTCTCTTGAAGAAAAATTTTTTTGGTCAGTCATGGGATTTGAATTCTGGGCCTGGGCGCTGTCCCTGAGCTCTTCAGCTCAAGGTTCTACCCCTTGAGCCACAGCGCCACTTCCGGTTTTCTGGTGTTAATTGAAGATAAGAATCTCACAGATTTTCCTGCCCAGGCTGGCTTTGAACTGTGATCCTCAGATATCAGCCTCCTGAGTAGCTAAGATGACAGGCGTGAGCCGCCGGTGCTGGACTCACATTTCTTCTTTTATAGGGACACATTCATACTGGGTGAGGGCCCACTGTAAAAACCTTTTAGCCTAATTACCTTGAAGACCGTTTTTATTTTTCATTACCAAAGTTTGAACTGAAAAGATTTGAGCTTCATGCTAGCTACAGAGGCACTCTACAACTTACATGCCTTTTTCCCTGAAAAAAGATCATGTTCTAACATACTGCTGGTTAGGTCTTCAACATAGGAATTTCGGAGAGAGAATACAGCCCTAACACTTACTTTGTGTACTTAACAGTGTAATAAGCAGTTTTGCTTGCTAAAAATTATTAAGTACATAATTTTAGTAATTACAAATAGTCCAAGAAGAATATCCACATGAGCAGCCCTCTACAATTAAATGTTTGGTTTGTTTTTACTTCTGTAATACTGTAATTTTCATGAGCAGTGCTTTTTCTGTTATCATTTTTTAGACCAGATACCTAGACATGAAATTAGCAGATCATTTTGAGATACTTTATAAATACCACAGATGTCTGCAGATAAGAAAAATGAAAGCAGTTATGGCTGGTTTTGCTTTTCTTGATTTTTTTTTTTTTTTTGCCAGTCCTGAGGCTTGGATTCACGGCCTAGACTCTGCCCCTGAGCATCTCTGTGCTCAAGGCTAGTGCTTTACCACTTGAGCCATAGCTCTACTTCCTGCTTTTTCTGAATAGTTTACTGGGCATAGGAGTCTCATGGACTTTCTTGCCCAGGCTGGCTTCAAACTGCAATCTGCAGATCTCAGCCTACTGAGTAGCTAGGATTACATGTGTGAGTGCCCAACTTGCTTTTCTTGATTTTTTGTGGGCTATTTACTAATCATATATTCTATTGGTAATTTGCTTCTTATTTAATTGTATTTTTATTTAATTTTGACAGTCCTACTGTTTGTCCTTGTCAATTCATGTGCCAGATATATGTATATTCATACAGGAAGGAGAAATTATTTGTTATCTTCTTATTCTTACAGATGAACTAATCTTTTGTTCTTATTTCTATAGCAGAAACAAATTACTTATTCACCAGGAATATGCAGTATAGAACATCAGCAAGAGATAAACAAACTGAAAACTGATTTGGAAAAGAAAAGTATTTTTTATGAAGAAGAAATATCTAAAAGAGAAGGAATCCATGCAAATGAGATTAAAAACCTAAAGAAAGAACTACATGATTCAGAAGGCCAGCAACTTGCTCTCAACAAGGAAATTTTGGTTTTAAAAGACAAACTGGAAAAAACAAGGAGAGAAACGTAAGAATCAAGTTGTTTATCCATTAGTACATATTTACTGAGTATCTGTCGTGTGTTGGTCAAGTACTGGAGATACACAAGTAAAAGATAATATCTCATATATCTCTGAGATATCTCATTTCCCAAGAAGACCAAAGTCAAGACTGGTAAATAGAAAATTAGTACAGAAGGTCAGGAAAGCAAGTGGATAAAAATAGAAGCACACAGGAAAGCTCCTTTGGTACAGTTAAGGCTTTCTGGACAAAACTATCTCAGCTGAGCTGTAAGAAATAAGAAAAAAAAAGCCAGACACTGGTGGCTCACGTCTGTAATCCTAGATACTCAAGAGGCTGAGATCTGAGGATTGCAATTCAAAGCCAGCCCAGGCAGGAAAGTCCACGAGACTCTTTATCTCCAATTAACCACCAGAAAACTGGAAGTAGCACTGTGGCTCAAATGGTAGAGTGCTCACCTTGAGCTGAAGAACTGAGGGACAGCAGCCAGGCCCACATTTCAAGACCCACGACCAACAAAAAAAAACAAGAGGGGGGGGGAGAGAAAGAAAGGAAGGAAGAAAGAAAGAAAGTAAGTAGTGGGGAAGAGTGCCAAGGCAGAGAGAGCAGAATGTTCTTAGACCTGAAGGCAAAAGAAACATAGCACCTTCGGAAAACGACAGCTGCTTAACTGTGGTGGAAGCGTGACAGGAAGCTCATGTGGTGAGAAGTGAGGCAGAAAGGAAACAGAGGCAAAGCTATGAAGCTGGCCTTATCCTAAGACCACTGAAGGAACAGGACATGATTCTGTTTATATTTTGGAACGACCACTTGCTCTACTGTGTTAGAATGGTATGGAAACAGCAGGAGGAGAAAGGCACCTGTGCCAGAGGTGATGGACTCACATGATGATGGTGAGCTTGTGAAAGAGTGTGCTGGGCTCCGAAGGTCTCTGGAAAGGACAGGACCCACAGGATGCCATGACTGGCTGCTTAGGTTTCAGGCAACCAAGTTTATGTCTTTGTCATTCTCTTCTGACATTGGAAGCCCAATTTACTCATTCTGGTGCATTCGTTCAAAATTATGTTATAACACTATATGCAGATCACCTTGTGTGGAGTAGGATGTAGCAGTGATGAATCAGATAAGAAAAATCACTGTTCTTACAGAGCTCTCTTTTAGTGTAACTAAAGACAGTAAAGGAAAGAAGTAAAATATGGAATACACTACAAAATGGTCAATGCAGGGATTCCTTGTACTATTTTTACAGTTTTCCTATAAATGAAATAATTTCAAAATTAATTTTGAAAAATATCTAAATTCATGTACAAACTTATTTTTAGCTATTTGTAAAAGCATAGAATACTATTTTAGTGAGATTAGTAAGGTTATAAAATGACTGGCCCAATCTTAAGTAAGGACTTCTAACTAAATTTTGTAAGATTATTGTGAAATAGATATACAAAGAAAAGTTAGTCTCAGACTAAATTTATCTTTTAACCTCAATGAAGGTAATGAGGCAGATGATAATTTTGATGTTCATTTAGAAATGTAGCTTATTTAATGAAATATTTCCTGATTATACAGTCTCTGCTACCTCATCCCAGATAAGGGTTTGTTGTATTACCTTATTTTCTTTATGCTTCTTAGTGAAATCACTTCTGAAATGAACTTCTTAAGCTCAGTTATTAGCTTTTAGTTGCTCATCTTCCCTGTACTGGAATGTAAGATCTGTGAAAGCAGGGCTTATCTGAAAAGTCCAAAACAGTTTGTAAAAATAAAGCAAATGGATGAGTAAACCAGTCAGCATTGCAGTGTTGTACACCCTTGGAATGCACTTTTTGTCAGGTACTATATAGCCATGCTAAAAATAATTTTAAGTTTTCAATTACCTTTGCTTCAGTTCTTTGTTTTCTTTTTGTTTTTGATTATTAGCCAAAGTGAAAGGGAAGAATTTGAAAATGAGTTCAAACAACAGTATGAACGAGAAAAAGTATTACTAACTGAAGAAAATAAAAAGTTGACAAGTGAACTTGATAAGGTGAGTGATTCAGTGTCACTTGTATTCATTAAGCATTGTGATGGAAATTGTGGGTATGATTGCTAGTTGTGGGAATGTCTGTGATGGAGAGTTTTTTGTTTTTGTTTTTTTTTTGGGGGGGTCAGGTCGTGGGGCCTGAACTCTGGGCCTGGGCTCTGTCCCTCAGCTCTTCAGATCAAGGCTAGTGCTCTATCACTTGAGCCACAGTACCACTTCCGGCTTTTTTCTTTTTGCTTATGTGGTGCTGAGGAATCGAACCCAGGGCCTCAGGCATGCAAGGCAAGCGCTCTACCACTGAGGAGAGTTGTTTTTTTTTTTTGTCACAATTCTTTGTGACAGGAATCTTCTAGAGGGAGTTTTGCTGAATTTCTTTTTCCAGGTTACTTTTTGGTTTTTCTTCTTTATTTCATTTCCTACTATTCTTTCTCTTCCTATTTTCTGAGTTGGCTGGTCACATTCAGGCTGAGACAGGCCCCTGGCGTAAGCAGGGGTAGTTAGGCCAAACCTGGAGAATTTATAACAACTACTTCATATTTGCATTAGAGAACTGATAACTAGAAATGATACCAGCGTAGGTGATAGCCCCAAAAAACTGACACTGCCTGACCTATAGCTGGAATGTAGAAGGTTTTGTATGAAACATAGAAGTAGCTATATGCATGAACAACATTTCAAAATACTTACAAAGAAATTTTTCCTCAGATTTCTCAAGCTGACCAGTCTTTAGCAAAACAGTTGTAAAAAAAATCTTAATATTGACCAGGAGCTTCAATAATCTTAGATTAGAAGAGCTGGTGGATTTGCATTTATAAATGATGTCTAGGTTTTTCCTCCAGTAAAAATATTGCATTTAATTATTATTACAGTAGCAGATTGAAAGACCTTGGCTAGTTATAAAACAGAAATTCTCCATTCTTTCTCAATTTTAAGTTATTTTTTTCCTTGAATTATGCCCCATTTTATATTTTTTGAATGTTTTTCTTATTTTTAAGTAATTGTACAAAGGTGTTGCTATTCACCAAAACAGTTTATAAATACAATGCCTCTTGATCAATGTCACCCTTTTTAACATTCTCACCTATCCTTTCTTTTGCTTAAGTTTAGGTTACATATTGAATTTTTTGGCAATTTGTTAAGCAGGTCATGTATACAGTGCATCTTGATCTGTGCTATCACTTCAACACCCCCTTCTACCCACCCTTACTTTATATTTCTCAAATCTGTGGTATATGCAATGAATTCTTGCCTATATTGTCCCCCTTAATCCCCCCCCCATTTTTTTGCGCTCTCCTTTGGCCCTCCCCTCCCCTCTTGATGCTATATATAAACAATGAATTCTTGCCTACATGCTCACCCCTGCCCCCCACACACACACATACTTCCCCCTGCATTCTTCTACCCCTTTCCATTTGGCCCCATCCTCCCCTCTTGCAAGAACCCATTTCCTGGTACTTGTTGATCTCTGACTTAGTCTTTTTTAAGAATTACACTATTTGTGCTCCCCATAGAGTCGAATACACTTCAGTTAATTCATTTGTAACCCCTTGCTTACCACCTAGTTTGTTTACTTGCAGGTTTATAGGCACATTAGCTACCCCAAATGATGAAAACATGCAACCTATGTTTCTCCTGGTCTGGCTTACTTCACTTAATAAAATTTCTTCCATGTCTTTCTACTTCCTTACAAATAGTGAAATATCATTATTTCTGATGGATGAGTAGAAGTCTATTGTGTATATATATCCCATTTTCTTGACTGTTTGTCTGTTGAGAGGCATCTGGGCTGATTCCATATCTTGGCTGTGGTAAATAATACTGCAATGAACATGGCTGTGCTGGTAGCTTTAGTGTGGCCTTGTTTGTGCTCCGGAGTGGAATTGTTGGGTCATAGGGTAGCTCTATGTTTAGTTTTCTGAGGAACTTCCGTACTGCTTTCCAGAATGGTAAACATGTTTACATTCCTACCAACAGTGTAATAGAGTTCCCTTTTGGCATATCCACACCAGTATTGTTATTGTTAGTTTTCTTGATATTGGCAATTGTAACTGGACTAAGGTGGAATCTCAGTGTTGTTTTGATTTGCATTTCCTTTATAGCCAGGATCCTAAGCATCTCTTCATGTGTCTATTGGTGATTTTTACTACTTCTTGTGAGAAGTTTCTCTTTAAGTCATTAGCCCATTTATTAATTGGGTTGTTATTTCTTTGACAGTTGGGGGATTGTACTTATTGAGCTTTAGTTATATTTTGGATATTAGACCCTTATCTGATGTATAGCTGGAGAAAATCTTCTCCCATTCTGTGGGTTTTCTGTTTAGCTTGTTAGCTGTGTCCTTTGTCATGCAGAAATTTTCATGCAATACCATTTATCCAGTCTTTCTTTTATTTGTTGTGATTCTGGATCTTTACTTAGAAAGTTTTGACCTGTGCCTAGGAGCCCCTATACCTCTTCCTGTAATATTGTCATGGCTTCTGACCTTACATTGAGGTCTTTGGTCCATTTTTAATTGATATATAAAAATTTAGTTTCAGTTTTCTGCATGTGGATAGCCAATTTTGCCAGCACCATCTGTTGAAGAGTCTGTCTTTCTTCTAACTTATATTTTTGGCTCCCTTATCAAATAGTAGATAGGTATAGTTCTGTGGGTTTATTTCTGGATCTTCTATTCCATTGGTCCTCAGGTGTTCTTGTGCCAGTTCCAAGCTGTTTTTATTAGTATGGCTTTGCAGTAGAGTTTGAAGTTTGGTATTGATATTCCTCCAACCCTGTTCTTGCTAAGGATCGCTTTTGCTATCGTGAGGCCTTTGTTATGTCACATGAATTTTTTTTTAATTTTTTATTGTAAAGATACTATACAGAGGGTTACAGTTACATGAGTGAGGTAATGAGTACACTTCCTCTTGAACATTGTTAGCCCCTCCATTGTTTTCCCCCTACCATCCCCCCCCTCCCTCCCTTCCCCAAAGTTCTTTTTTTTTTTTTTTGATTGTGATTAAGTGATTACATAATTTCTAAGT